TATACAATATTTACAAACTATATACACAACGTTTTCGCCTTTCTGAGTAGTTGAGAAATAAACTGCCCATTGACACAACATGTCATTCAAAGCAAGGAAGAAAGCAAAAAGGACAGACAAAACAAAAACAACAAACAAACCGCAGAGCAAAAAAAGAAGCACTGCTCAGGAGTGGCATCCCTTAAAACTAAAACCCGCCTATTCCCCTATTGCGAGTGCGCTTGCGCGCAAGCACACACACACACACACACACACACACACACACACACACACAAACACACACACACACATGCATACACGCACACCACAATCACACACACACACACATGCATACACACACACACACACACACACACCACAAACACACGACAAACACACACACACACACACACACAAACACACAGACACACACACACACACACAAACACACGATAAACACACACACACACACACACACACACACCTATAGACACATGCACAGACATTCACGTACACTTTAATACACATGCAAATTCCCTTGAGATTTTAAATATAATATATGACCGTCCTTTTTTGTGTTTCCATGCAATACATTTTTTCAACATTATAGGATGATGTAAAAAGGTACTATTCCCCAGTATTGTTGGCTGTTTTCTGCAAGTCCATCAGGGAATGAAATTAGACTGTAAAATTTATTGTACAGTTTTGGAACATATTTTAACAATATAAGCCTAGTTTAGATACCGTATTATTTTCTTTGGTTCAAACAAGCTTCCTTTGAACCCACAATAATATAAGCCTAGTTTAGATATTATTTTTTTCGTTCAAACAAGCTCCCTTTGAACCCATAATAATTGAAAAAAAAACAACCACACAAAACCCCCCAACAAACCCCCAAAACCAAAACCCGGGACATTGTACGCAAAGCAGGGTATTGTAATAATATAGAAAGAGAAAACAAAATCAACTTCCACTTGTATAATTTAGATACAAAGTATGAACACATGGTACACGTCATACTGTAAGGCATCACATTTTCTAAAACTCATCAAATTATTTTGAACAAAGACTAAGAGAAAACATTGCTAATATTAATACTCGGGCCACAACCATTTGCTTACAGTTACAGTGAATTAAGACAAACTGATTCGAGACTAGATCTTCTGGTAAAAGTTTGATAAAAAGCTGAGCCTGGTGTCAACAGTTATCTGCGAAAAATCATTACATGTATGTTTATGAGCTGGACGAGCAAAGTAACCTACTTCAAAGAACAAGCCGACGTATTGAGATCAACTGTACCTAAAAGTCACCGCTTTAATAACATAATGACGTGTCCCAATGCATTTTTGCGTGCATTGTTTTGTTTCTCAGAGAAATTTTGACAAGTCTGCTAAAAGAATAACGTGTCAAGGGTGAGAGACTGTAATGAATGCCACATAAAAAATGTTTCAGCATATATTTCTAAAAGTATAATTGAAGAGTAGGGAGAGGGGGTGGGGTGGGGAGTATTACCCTCCAAGCCTTGAGGTGGAATCCAAAAGGAAAGAAAAAGAAAGGAAAGTCTATAAAAGTACAAAGAGAACTCATGTTGGTGACCTATACTCCGGCACGGGGAGAGAAAGGCTAATGATGATAACGATGATGACAGTGAGAACATGGAATTAGTCGCCATCTATAACTTTCGCCTTTGTCTGGTTTGAATAGCTGTTTGGTTCAGTCTGTTCTGTCCATCAATATATTTGTTTTTGGAAACAGCCGTACTGTAATCACATCTACGTGGCATATTGTTCAACAATGTAGTTTAAATCAATATTTCGGAAAAATGAAAAACACGTATGTTTATAAATCGTTATAGAGTCTGATGAGACGCACTATTTGGTGTAAAGAGAGAAAGTCGGTTGATTATATGTATGATTATAGGGACCCCTACAAAAAAGACACTAGTCATCAATCTTTTTCCTGATACTATATTATTATGGGGTGGTTTCCCCAAACCTTTAAATTATTGCATCTCTGCGCTACAATTGTTCTGTTATGATGCTAGATGCCATTGACTTTACTCATAGCTTGAACGCGGATAACAGCACTTCCAATAAACACCACGGAGGAGGTGGTGATCACGACTGTATGTATGTGGGAGAGTCATTAATCAGAACGAGAGAGAGAGAGAGAGAGAGAGAGAGAGAGAGAGAGAGAGAGAGAGTGAGAGAGAGAATGGTGAACGGGCGGTAGGGGAGTGATAAAAAGAAAGAATGTATTACAGTATTAGATTATATTGACCTAGAACTGAGAAGGTTGCACAGAAACCCCAACTTTGAGACAGGAAATAGTATGGTCGCTTTTAAAGACAAGCGGGCTAAACCCAAATCCCGTGGGTTTCCAGACATCTAGACCTGTACCAAAAGTGAGCGTTGCCCTACCTATAGGAGAGGTTTGGTTTTATTGGTGTGTATATTTGTTTGGTTATAGAGAAAACTCTCTTTGTCGTTTAAAGAAACTGAACAAGGGGAACAAAACTTTACCTTCGATTTTCTCAAAACAGCTTTGTTTGGGATTTCCGCCTTATGCTTAAAAACGACCGTATAGGATCTACTTTATACCTTGTTCTCTCCTTTATTGATTTGCCAATGCACTCTTAACATTCCATGACACTCCAGTTGGCCAGCGAAAAAATTAAAATACACATTTTAAAAATCACGATTCTGTAATAGAAATATTTATTTATTTTTGGCCCTATATTTGGGTGCATGCACACGATTACTAAAGCTCGTTCACTTTCGTCTGAGCGCGGTTAAAAAAAGACACAAACAAATTGTTCTGTTTAATCTTCTTAGATCTTTGCGCGAAGACCTAGAAGTTGGATGGCCAATATAATCTAAAAGCCCATTAATAAATAAAGGTTCCAACACGTTTTTCTATGTTAACCTAAAATAGGTAAATACCTGTTAGAGGATTTGCACCATAATAATTAATATATTATACCTAGACCATTAAAAAGATGACTTATTTTAATGAACACCACACTTTTAGCGCACGCCAGTAAAACACAGTCCAACATTATGGTTGAGTACTTTTCGAGACTCACGGAGAGACGTCTAGACAGCCTTGAGATGGAATTGACAAGCTTAATATGGGGTGCCCACTACGACTGGGATCGGCCGATCGGGCCGATTGCCCCGACTCGATCGCCTCAAAAACAAACGTGTTCAGTTTCAGGTGATCAAGTCGGACGATCTGCCCGATCCAGCCGTAGTGGGCACCCCGTATAATGTTCAAACTGATTAGATCCCAGCGTTTCTCGTCCGTGGAACTAGTTTTCATCTGGAGAATTTATTCACTAACAAGATAACTATAGTGTGGTAAAAAATTCGTGGCATAACTTATCCTTAAATATCTCTATAAAGGGTGGATCAGTGTCAACCATACTTTGCACAGAAGGTTGTATCAATTTGTCTTAACTTAATCATATTTTTGCACAACAATTTGAGGCTATATTAAAAATTGTGTCTTCATAAGTTCATATATAATATGTGTGGCAGCGTGGTGGAATCAGGCTCTCGTCAAATTTTGGGCATGTAGAGTTATTGGTATCATCTTAAAGCTTGTTCACTTGTCTTTATTTGGATGAAAAAAATATCCATTTATCTTGAATGCAAGTCGAGATGTTTGAGAAAGAA